GATATTTAGCACTTGATTACGTGTAGTGTAATTCATTCTTTGAGATAACAGACCTCCTTTGAGGTCATATTTCATACACGTAATTTCTATAATACGTTTTCTAATTTTCAAAACAAAAACAGGGGCTGCCGTGCTGCCCCGAGAAGTTTGATCCATAAGGATAGTCAATGAAGATCACTCTAATGTGTTGCAGCATTCAAGCTGCCAGCGTGAAGTGGAACTAAAGTGCGACTCAAGTTACAGAGAAGAGAGACAGACCGTTCTGCTTCTATACAGCCTGCCTGTTTGTGTCAAAGGTGATAACGTGGCAGAAATCTAGCTAAGATGGAGTTTGCAGCGATCTTTGCACTGTCAGTACTGATAGGTGCACTGGTTTTGTTAGTGGTCGTGGCTGTTGGTAGACAGAAAGGTGAATTATCTGAGCAAAATGAACAGAAGAACGACACTGATGCACCGGGTGAGTGTGTCTGTGTACCTCTTCTATCTTGCCAGCAACTTTAGTTTTGAAATTGATTTTTTTGACTAATATAACGATGTTGTAAGTTCGTCTCAAAGACATAGTTTAGATTGGAAAGTATTTTATTTTGATGCTGTGTAACTGGATAATGTTACAGTGGAGGAAAATGCAACGAAAGCTCCTTCCAAAAAGCAGAAGCAGCAACAGCGCCCCCGTAAGGAGAGACCGCAGCAGCACACATTCTCACACCAGCTACTGGCTTCCTCTCTCAAGGTATTATTTCGTGATCAAATCTAACATATAGTAAACACATGACGTCATTTGCCGGCAAAGCATGTCAAGGGCAACCTATGGAAGCTTGTTTCTGCCACTGAATAAAAAAAGTGACTTTTATCTTATTATTCCCAGATATGAAGTCAGAATTGAGAAATAATGTTGCAATTGCGAGATATAAAGTCTCAATTCTGAGAAATAAAGTCACAATTGCGAGAAAAAACACAGAATTGAGCGGTTTTATCTCACAATTCTGACTTTATAACATATAATTGCGAGTTTTTAAATCGAAGATCTGACATCTTTTCTCAGAATTGTGAGATATCAGGCCAATTCTAAGGGGAAAAAAGTAACTTTTTCCCCTCAGAATAGTTTATATCTCACAATTATGATTTTACAACACGCAATTTCGGCTTTATATCAGGCATATCTGACTTTATAACACGCAATTGAGACTTTATATCAATCAATTCTGACTTTATATCTCGCAATTCTGACTATAACACCCAATAGCTCGCAATTGCAACTTTATATTGCGCAATTCTGTCTTTATATCTCGCACTTCTGAGAAATAAAGTCAGAATTGCCAGATGTAAACTCGCAATTTTGAGAAAAAAGTCAGAATTGTGAGATGAAAAGTCGCAATTACCTTTTTCATTTTTCATTCTGTGGTGGAAACAAGCTTCCATAGCAACCAGCGGTAGACCAGGCTGGCAAAGAATTTAATGGTTTTATTCAGGAAGGATGCATCAAAATGAAAAATGTTACAAAAAAAGTTTCTACCCATCAAAGAATTCTGAAAGTATGTATGACACTTTCCACAAAAATATTAAGCAGCACATATGCTTTCAAAATTGATGATAATGTTATAATAATGTAACATTGTTCTAATAGTAATAAACAAATGCTTCTTGAGCACCAAATCATCATATTAGAATGATTCCCGAAGGATCATGTGACACTGAAGACTGGAGTAATGATGCAGAACATTCAGCTTTGCCATCATAGGAATGAATAACATTTAAAATATTAATTCTAAAGATATTATATTGGGTTATATTGTCTTATTTTAAATGTCAAGATTGCGAACTTTCTTTAGGTGCATGTCAAAGTCCTGGATATTGATCTGTATTTCTGTGCATTCATTCCCCCTCCTAGAGTCACAGTGGCAATGTGACCTGCCTGGATTTTAGTAGCAATGCCAAATACCTTGCATCTGCCTCAGATGACCGTACCATCCGGATTTGGAGCACTAAAGACTTCCTTGACCGAGATCACAAGTGCTTGCGGGCCAACGTTGAGTTTGACCACGCCACACTCGTCCGCTTCAGCCCAGACAGTCGGTACGTGTGGCCTCATTTATGTCATTAAAATATTCTGTCAAGTCAAATCAAGTTTTCTGATACTCTTTTAAACAGTTATCACTCCTGACTGGTTGGTTTTTGCCCTTAGAGCGTTTATCACTTGGCTGTCTAATGGAGAGACCATTCGAATCTATAAGATGATTAAAAAAGATGATGGGACATTCAATTTCAAAGCTGCTGCGGGGGATTTCCCTCAGAAACACAAGGGGATCATTATCAACATCGGAATCGCTGAGACAGGTCAGTGGACTCCATGAATTAAATCCATCTGTCATACACATATGCTGCTAAGCTAGCTTGCATAAGACTTAATTACTCATTTTAGATTCTGTTTTCAGGCAAATTTATCATGTCTGCCTCTGTTGACACCACTATTGTGATCTGGGATCTGAAAGGAGAGGTTTTAGCTACTATCAACACTAATCAGATGACCAACTCACATGCTGCTGTGTCACCGTGTGGACGGTTAGTTCAAGAAGCAATACAAGCAGCTCCTCTGGGAATTTGACATTTTTTCCTTTTGTATAAGTGTTTTGTGGTCAAATTTGATATAGTTAAACAAATGTGTTGCATCATGTAATAATGTTTGCGTAATAATGAAACCCTCTTTGCAATCACAGTGTCAATAGTATTAAATAGCATGGGTCTAAGACTGCATTCACACTGCCAGGGCTTTATGCTCAATTCTGATTTTTTGTTTTTTTTTTTAATATTTTTTTTTGTGCAAAAAAGTCATTTAAAATGACCCAGAAGTGACCCGCATGCGCAGAAGAGTACTCAATGGTCAACAACGTCACTTGTTGTTTGCGGAAGTAGCTATGGATGTCAACAGTGGAGCTCGTTTAGCAATGTTAAAGTTATTTTCCCAACAGAGCCAGCACAATTACAATCTTCTCATTCCCGCCTACTTCAACGCAGAATTATGACGTTTATCGCATATCAATGACGTGTGGGTCGGATAGATGTGAGATATAAGTCGCATTTCAAAAGATCGGATACATATCGGATTTGGACCACATACCCAAGTGGCCTGGGTCGAATTTGAAAAGATCGGATCTGTGCCATTCAGGCTGTCATGAAAAGGTCAGATACAGGTCACATAGGGGATCGGGATTGGGTCGTTTCAGCCTGCAGTGTGAACGTAGCTTATATATGGTCTAATGCAGATGAAATGGATTTAAAACCTCTATTTATGTATTTTAGGTTTGTTGCTTCGTGTGGCTTTACCCCTGATGTGAAGGTGTGGGAGGTTTGCTTTGCTAAATCAGGGGAGTTCAAAGAGGTCACTCGTGCGTTTGACCTTAAGGGACACTCCGCTGGAGTTTACTCCTTCGATTTCTCCAATGACTCTCGAAGGCAAGATCATCTCTCTCTCTCTCTCTCTCTCTCTCTCTCTCTCTATATATATATATATATATATATATATATTTATTTCAATTAACAAAATAAATGATAATACTTTTAGTTAACAATAACAACTCTTATAAATTAGAACATAGACATTTAATTGTTCCTTGAGCCTGAACAGTGTAAAAAGTTTAATTATATAGTTTTCATTGAGTCAAATTTAACTATAAATCGATTGCTACAAGTAATAACATTTTACTACCTTTTACAGAATGGTGACTGTATCCAAAGACGGCACATGGAAGCTGTGGGACACTGATGTGGAGTATAAGAAAAAGCAGGACCCATATTTGCTCCGGACCGTGCCATGTCAGGTGTCGGAGGGAAGCCGCATCGCACTGTCACCCGACGGTCGTGTAGTAGCCTTATCAAACGGCTGTGATATAGCCTTATACAGCGCTACCACTGGTGAACTGGAGGAGGAGTTCCACGGTGTTCACAGCGAACAAATAGCCGACCTCAAGTTTGACATCAACAGCCGTTTCCTAGTCAGTACTGGGGACCGTGCCATTCGCGTCTTTCACAATGTAACCGGGTACCGCGCTGCCATCCAGGACATGGAGACCATGCTGAAGAAAACTACAAATGATGGAGTAAGACAAAGACTCCAGCAGCAGATTTCAGATGCTCAGAGCGCTCTGGAAACGGTGCTGAATGCAACAAAGAACTAAAGGCTGATTTGTTTTCACTGGGAAGCAAGTCTGTTTTCGGTTTCAGAAATAAGTGGCTTTAGCATGCTGATTTTATTGAATAAATCAAATGTTTTTAAGTGTTTGTAAATGACTTTTGTTCCTTTTCCACTACATTTTCCTCTGCCGTATTTTTGAGGCTTTAAAGGTGACGTGTTTACACTTTTCAGGGGAAATATACTGTCTTACAAAGGCAACAAGCTGTAATACTGAAAATATTTTTTATTGATTTGATTATTTTAGCTGTCTGTCTGTCTGATTATCTCATCATACCTCAAATTTGACTAAATATAGTCACTGTGTTTTGCCTTTGAACTGCATTATATTTGACTTTTTATAATTTTGCCTACTTGCGTTTTCTGGATATTGAACATGGATAGGAATATTTTAGAATCAAAGAATTGTTATACAGCAGTTTTTAAGGAACTTCAAATCATTAAACGGTATATTTAAATAATTGAAAAATAATGAATAGAAAAAATAAACTGTTAACTTTTTAGTAAATTTAGTAAAAGAAAAAAACTTTAATTTTAATATCCTAATTCAGCTAATAAAAAAACAGCCCCTGAAGACCTTTATTTTGAAAGCTACTATAACTATTAAAAGTTAAATTAAAGTATTTAGGTTATAAACAAGTGTTATCCTTAAAATATGATTTGGCCATTCGGTCGTTGACTGGATCTGATTATAATGACAATAATAAAATGTACAAAGCAAAAAAACAGCACCCACCTGTGCCCTCTCTGTAAGTAGGTGGGACCTGTCAAGAAGATCTGGAAAGTGGAGTATGAGTTCTCGCGATGCGAGATTTGAGCAGCCAGACTGCGAGACCGACACGATTCCAGTTAGAGTACCGATAAAATTCAGAAATGTCGGGTCGTTCGGTCCGCGCAGAGACCCGAAGCCGCGCTAAAGATGACATTAAGAAAGTGATGGCCGCCATCGAGAGAGTACGGAGATGGTGAGTATAACGGGCGGCGTCAAGACACTTTGAAAGAGAGAAATGTTTTTCAAAAGAGAAACTTCAGTCGGAAAGGAGGAGGGGTTTCATAAGAGGATGCTGTTTGATTGACACAAGAGACAGCCAATGTCAGCGCACTTGTCTTTATTTTCTCAAGGGACTAGTGGCAAAAAGAGGCGGGACTTAAGAGGTTTTTAAATGGTTTCTTCATGTGATGAAAAAGTGTACTATGTTAGGACTTTTTTTACTAGTTTATATAATCTATTATACATTTACTCTGCAAAAGAGTAATCCAAGCACACCCAGCCCAACAAAACGAGGCACTTTTGTTATTGAAATAAATGGGGATATTTGATAGGGGTCATCTCATTAACAAATGGACCTTGTAATCCCATGTCCCTAAAAACTTTCTCCATCTGGAAACTTGATAAGTGCTTTTTTCTGCATGGGTGCGTTTTTTACATGGAAACTTGATAAAGCTTTTCAAGTCATGTATACAGGAAACCTGTTACACAATTGCTCCATTTCAGGGAGAAGAAATGGGTCACAGTTGGTGATACATCATTAAGAATATTTAAATGGGTTCCTGTGGTGGACACAAAGGAGGTACGACACATCTTAGACGTTCTTTTCTCTTTGTTTTAATTGTACCTTCATGTCATCTGGATAGGCTAAATGCATGTGCAAAAATATGTTGTTTCCATTTCATAGATATAGATCCAAATAATCTGTAATTACCTCCACAGTATTTACTGTATCTGTAACATGTCTTTTAGAAGGACAAAAGCAAAGTGTCTGTGGGTGGAGAAATGCAACGGAAGAATTTTCCAACGGAGGAGGCATCTGATAACGCCTGTTCGGTACTATTAGATTTTCAAGGTAAACAGATGCAAGTTTTAAAGGGTTAATTCACCCAAAAATGACAATTCTGGCATTGTTTGCTCACCCTCATGTTGTTCCAAACCCATATGACTTGTTTCTTTCGTGTCAAATTCAAATCTTCTCTTGGTTGCCTCCTGCTTTCTCAGATGACAACAGCAACCAGAGTTCTGTCGACTCATACCAGCATAAAATAGCTGCAGACAGCAGCAATAACTCCAGTCTACCGCCCAGTGAGCCGGTCAGTCCTGCACCTCAGAGTCTAGACTATCATACAGATGACCCACAGCCGCCCACCCTCGGCCAGGAAATCATGGAAGGTGAGACTCATAGCTTGCATTTTTCATTAAGGTTAATGTTGACCTCAGAGCTGAGAGACTCATTATATTATATTATATTACTTTGTAATTTTCTTTTAATATATTTAAATGTTGGTTTAATGTTAATCTCTGAGAGATTCATTACTCATTATATTATTAATAAATAAATTGCACATTTTCATAAACCCTGAAGCTTTTATAAACCATGCTTAAAGGGATACTTCACCTCTGGAAAGATGAATGTGTATTTAAAATTGGTCATTTATGTAGAAGAAATGTGAAATCATTTTTGAATTTGGCGCTTTCTAGACTGAGAAAAGCCAGAAAATGTATTTTTGGCTTATGTGGATGAAAGACAACAACTCCCAGAATGCACTTGCTTCGCTGCCCTAGGAGGCCACGCCTACCGGTAACAGAGCGCAGTATTTAAACAACAAGTCTTGACTACTAGTGAGTCTCCGTGATGAGTCTGCCTGAAAATGTGTTTCGAGATCGTACAAAATGTCTGGGATTGGGCTTTTGCGTTCTACAGTCGCCGTTCATTATGTGGCGAGCGGGACGAGTGAGGGCCGCGGGAGAACGGCGCGAGGCCGGTGGCGTGATTACCGATGAGCGACACCTGTGAGACGCACCGGTCTCGTATCTCTCACGGAGGAGCGGGGATTTTCTTAGCGATGTTAAAACGCACATCAACCGATCACTTGTTTAGCGTTCATGTAAACACTACATTCAGATTCACCAATCAGAACGAATTCAGTTAGATTGAAACAAAAGATGTGCATGTAAACAATGAATGGTGATGGTAAGATACAATGAAAGAGGATGGTAACCCCGACTACTCAGCTTTCTCCACAGAACAAGAGCCTGCTAGCTTAGCTTCCAAAAAAAGATGGCCGACACTATATGTTCATTCTGTGAGTGAGATCGCCCTCTATGGGCGGGTTGAGGACATACGGGACAGACCCGACTACTGACTGTAGTCTTTAGCCTCTGGCCAAAAAAATCCTCGATTCGAAAAATCGAAAAGACGATTTTTGCGTCATTGGAAGATTTTTTCCAGACAAAAAATACATAAATCTCTCGTCTCAGGGGGTGGAAAGCACAGTAATTTGAAAATACTACAGGTTTTCTACTAACGCAAAGCTAAATGCTAAATTCTGAAGTATCCCTTTAAATATTTAGTAAGTTGTTTTCACCTCTGTGTCATGCTGATTTGTTCTGAGCAAATGCGTTGCAGTTGACCCACTTTTAAAAATGCTAACTTTTTTTTTCTAGAACCATTGCTGCAGTCAAGTGAGATTGCAGATGAGCCGCCAACACTGATCAAAGAAGATCTTCTTCCTCTCACTGCTCAGGTATAAAACACAACTAGCTAGAGGTTGATGATAAAACATGAATGCAGGCACAGTTCTTCTGCTGGGCCTTGCTTGCCTTCAAATTCAACCTTTCTTCAATTTTCAATTAGTTTTATTCACAACGTAACAACTTTCTGTGTCAGCTTAAGTAATTGTTCCTTTTTCTCCAGGTTCAGGAGGATGAAGACAGTTGTGGAGCCCCACCACTAAAAAGAATTTGTACCGAGCAGGTCTCGGTCATCCAGGCAGCCCCTCTGAGCTAACACACACACACATACCCACACACTGTACACTGGGCATTGATAATCAACCAGACTGATCACTGACCTTTCTAGAACTGCTGCGATAGACACAATATGGACCAGACATCAGGAAAGCACTATATTTATTATCGCGTGGAATAGCTTTTACAAATCTTGGCCTTCCCTTTTTAACTCTTGTTCCCAGAACATACAAAATATGTTTCAATTCTGGTCATGTCGCAATTATTGTTCATTTCTGAAGATATTTTTGACATATATGAAGCATTATTTCAAGGTTAATAAGCCAAAATCAAAAGAAGCCAGACTATTAACTGGACATTCCTGTTTACCGGGAGAGCGGATGAATGTACTCTCACTTTAAAGCCCTTCTTGTTGATTGCTGTTACAGTTATTACAATGATAATAGCTTTATATTATAGACAGTGGAATGTGATGCTTGATAAAAAAGGAAAGCCATAAAATAATTTCATGTTGACTGAAGGCTTAGCCATTATTGAGGAAAATGTATTTCAAAACAAAGACAAGTAGTGAGTTTTATAGCAAGGGTACTTGAATAGATCACACTTTCTGCACAAATAATTTCATTAGACCACGCCATTCTCCTTTAACAAATACATTGACTTAACATGCAGAAGGTCTTCAATCAAATTCTGTGAGTTTACATGCAGATTGAAATGAATGTTTAAGCTATGATTCAAAATATGTGAATAATATCTAGTTTGTAGATTCTGGTCTCAGGGTCTCTTAGTGCCTCCGATTGTTAAAGAATCACCCTTCCAGCTCTCATTTTTTTCATTAATTGAACATTTACTAATTTGTCTCAATGTAACACATACATTGAAATAAGTTATTATAAAATATGTTGGTATTATTCATGAAATTTTATAGGAATGGTATTTGTATAGTGGGCACATTGAGGTTGATGAAGCAGCCATATTGTTATTTGATTAAAATATTAGACATTAATTGCAAGAAATGTCATTTTTGTCATTATTTTTTCAAAACAGTAACAAAATACTCCACTGTTTAATAGTTCTGGATCAATACGATTACTTTTATTCAGCAAGGAGGCATTAAAGCTGCAATGTGTAATAATTTTGAGTATCTATTAACAGAAATGCAATATGACTTCCATAACTATGTTTTCAGTGGTGTATAAAGAACTTACGTAATAAACCGTAATGTTTTATTACCTTAGAATGAGACATTTATATCTACATAGAGTAGCCAAAACACCGATTGACTTTTCTTGCCACTGGGGGAACATATACAGGTTAGGAGAACTCATATTAATGTTAAAATACCTCAGAAAGTGAAAATGTCATGTTAGGGAACCTATGTGTAAGAAACGTTTTTTTAAATTGAAATAATGTTTCAAGTTATTACTGTTTTTACTGTATTTTCAGCCTTGGTGAGCATACGAGACTTCTTTCAAAAACATTACAAAAAATTCTTTAAAGGAAAAAAACTTTGGTGTAGTAGATTCAATATTTGTGGTATTTAAAAGTGTTTGACCAGCAGGTGGCGCTAAATCCCCATTACCCATTTCAAATCAGAACTATTAGTTATTATTTTTGCCCATCAGTTTTAGTATATTATTACTATTGTTATTTATTTATGTATCAGCATTGTATTTAATAATGAAATATCGATCAATGTTATGTTTTTCCCTCTAGTTGTTTTCTCTGCATTTCTTACATTATTATAAAGTACATTCATTCATACCTAGACGGCGTTTTGGATGTCACAAACGCCTGCAGCATTGTTTGGCCACGCTAACGATGATGTAGTAGATACTAGATAGTCAGCCAAATATATAATGAGACACAGCCAGTCTTTTACTCGAGATGACCGGATAGCATTTTGACTGTCTGTCCTCCGTCAGGTCTCTCCATAACTCACTCAGGCGTGTCTGAGCAGGACAACATCAGATAAAGCGCAGGGAATAAGCAAAGGGTTGTAAGACCTCGGATCATGCGTGAGGGATTTTGGAAACTTCTTTGTATTTTCATGGTGTCGTTTCGTCCTTTTAAAGCCTCAGCAGCTATTTATCAGGTTCCAGTGAGACTGCAGCGCACTGTGTCCGAACACAACACACTCAACAGGTAACTTAAACTCTGTGACTTCATGTGCTCGACGTAACATTAGAGAAAGAGATTTACTAAGCCGCTCGAGCATCACCAAACCGATTGATTTAAAGCCTCAGTATATTGAAGGATGATGGATTAAGGTCAATGAACTCGAGTTGTAACAGTCAAGCTTTAATAAACTTAAATTAGTCGAGCGTTTCTATCTAATCGAACAAAATTTTACTTTTTTAAAAATAATATTCACAACTGCTTATGTGGCTTACAACTTTTCTACGTGTAATGTGTAGACTACATACAAGTACATTTTTGAAGCTAAATAAACTGAATCTTAAAAACAAACTGGTGTAGGATTTATTTTGAAAACCATTTTCACTCAGAAAATGCTAGTATTTTACATTTCAAGTAAAAAAGACTGCAATTGTAAATTCTTGTAAACCGTACAGTAGCCTACTTCAATAATCAGTGTTTTATTTACGACTTTAAAAAAATAATTTTAAAGTGTCTATCTATCTATCTACTGTATCTATCTATCTATCTACTGTATCTATCTATCTATCTATCTATCTATCTATCTATCTATCTATCTATCTATCTATCTATCTATCTATCTCTATCTATCTATCTATCTATCTATCTATCTATCTATCTATCTATTTGTTTGTCTGTCTATCTATCTATCTATCTATCTATCTATCTATCTATCTATCTATCTATCTATCTATCTATCTATCTATCTATCTATCCTAAACACATCTGTGAAGGCCGCTGATTGCATTCCCAGAAAAAGAACAAACCAAAGCCAAAAGTATTTTTTATCTTAAAAATGAATAGTTCTTTATCCCAACAGATGTGGAAAAATATTTTGTGGTTTTACACGCGGTTGAGCTCTTTAGACGTGTTGAGCTTCATGTGTGTCCGTGGTCCTGTCACGACTCATCACAATCTGTCCTGTGAAACAATGAAGAACAATGACATGAAAGACAAAACGGTCACAATCCTGGGATATTTTGAATCACCTGAGACATAGAAAGGATTTTTTTGTTGTTTTAGTTCTTTTCAAAGACAGATGACAGACACTTCTGGGTGTTAAATGAATGTCGGGAGAGAATAAATCATTCAGTCTCACATGGTAAAGGAAAAAAGATATGCTTGTGCCACTGAGAGGTTCTCTCTGAGGACCCTATACTGTATTTCATTTCGCTTTTGAAGTGAAGGAGCTTCATGAAGAAACATTATGGCACTAAAACTACTGAAGTCACATACTTGTTTGTTTTGCAATGCCATATCGGTTTTGTGAAAAGGGATTTTAGGAATACATGTATCACTAAATTTCCATGATTTCATTGGCATTCATGATTTTCGATTCAATATTTGACATGGCTGGATACTGATTGGTCCGTTCTTTGTCATTATTACTGTTTATCCATCATGGAACGAATAAGGAACCGGTGCCAGTACACAGTACAGAAGACAGTTTCATGTCAGACTCAAAATGGGACAGAGACTGTTGTGCAGCGACTGTTTCAGAGTTGCCGATGGCCTGGACCGTGTGCAAACCTCATCAGGTACGGAGAAAAGAAACAATCTCATGGTATAAACTGGATTATTCTCTACTATTCACTCTCACATTCACTAACAGACTCTGTGTATGCTTTGCTTCTCTGTATTTTCCCAGCTACAGGACTCTGGTGAGACCTGTGTACAGAGTGACCTACAGGAAAATCACTTCTCTGGAATGGCGATGCTGTCCGGGATTCCATGGGGAAGACTGCAGAGAGGGTGAGGGAGATCATTTCTCACCAGTCTCAAGTTCACTGAAGTATTACTGAAGCATTTGAATGTCTGTGAGAGAAAAGAAATGTTAGCTGTTAGATGACATTTATTAGTTGTGCCAAGAAAATCATAACATTATCACAGAGATTTGGTGGTTGGACTCTATTGATTTGTGTAAGCAAGCAACCAAATTGAAACCACCCAGAGGACCCAAGCATCGAGCAAACATCACTTACACTTGGCTTGGTGTGTCTTAGTGGGTGGTTCTTTTTTTTAAATTTAAAGGGATAGTTCACTTTGAAATTAATTTTTGGTATGTTTACCTCAAGGGCATCCAAGATGAAGGTGTCTTTGTTTCCGCGGTAGTTTCAATTCATTTTTTTTTGATGTTCTTGTCTGTTAGTCATATAATGGAGGTCTATGGTCACCACCTCAAAGAGCATGCACAGAGAAGTCCAGATTAAACATGATTTAATGACTCGTAAATGTAAGTACACATTGATGACCTAAGACATGAAATGAGCGGTTTGTGTGAGTTTTTATATCGTTTTGCCTCTTTTACCACGCATCCTCAGATCACTTGAACATGGGTGTGGTTACAAGAGATAAAAACGATATAAAAACTGTTCGTTTTCTGACACAAAATGCTCAGTTTGTGTCATCGGGCCATCAATGTGTACTTACATTTACGAGTCATTAAATCATGTTTAATTTGGACTTCTCTGTGCATGCTCTTTGAGGTGGTGACCATAGACCTCCATTATATGACTGACAGACAAGAACGGTTTGACCTAAAAATATCAAAATTGAAACTTCTGCGGAAACAAACACCAACATCTTGGATGCCCTTGAGGTAAGATAAAACATACCAAACATTAATTTCAAAGTCAACTATCCCTTTAAGTCTCTAAGCAACACCCTTACATTCAGTTTGTGGGTGTGAATGTGAGTAATAACAGCTGGTCTGACTGTAGGAATCAATCATCTGGTAGAAAAAGAATGAATATGTCAATCATTTTTCCACTGAACGTATTTCCCCTCTCTCTATTTCACACATTCTTATACTGGTATATATTGACCTGGAGGAAATCCATTTTGGATTGGCCAAGTTGCAAAGTATGCTCAGATTTGCCATGACACAACAATCTGCAATCAAAAGTCAAATGTCTCATTATGAATATTTCTTATATTCTTCCAAGACTAAATTATCTGTAAATGTGATGTCATTCTATTTGTATTTATCCTATGTTCTTTGGAAGTCTACTACTTAAATATTAGAGCCAATGCATCCTTTTCTTAACTTTTAATGGGTATAAACACAAAGATCTGGATGTATTTTATCTGGTAACCCTGTCTAATGTCAATGCCATGTCATATCAGTACAGTTACACTCCTTACTTACACACTTTACTCCTAGAGAGACAATCATAATCAAAACCAGAACAGCTCTGGGTCTTTGCATATGGGTACATACATTTTAATTAAACTAAATTAAATAGCTGGAAGAAAGTGTTTTGAATTAAGGAAATGAGTCAATGCTTTTGATTCATTTTCATTTATTTGACACAGCACATTTAGATGTGGTAGAAGTCCAAATAGTTTTGACCCAATAAGGATAATTGACCCATGACACACATTCCCATGTTTTTCTGGATGCTGGTTTAATGAACCTACTTCCCCCCACAGCAGACACACTGGCCCGTCTGCGGTGTCTCTTTTCAGATCATCCCCTGCGAGATGTGGATGATTTAGTTTGGGTCAAATCCAAGGGCGCCACGATCTCTGACATGTGAATAAATCAGACATCTTCATTTCTCCTTCCTCCTCCCTTTTATCCCTCTCCATTGGGCTCATAGCTTCAGCCTGAGGCGATCAATCCCCTGGGTCTCAGCAGGCCCCTCTGTGTTTGGTTTATTTAAAAACTTATTTTTGGACTTTGGATTGTGATTCGTAGTTGAACAGCTCAAGTTAGGTCAAAGTCAGTCGTGTGAAATCCCAACATTTCCATTCATTGTGTGTAATGAGGTCTAAAGAAGAATGCTGTGTCTGATTTCAGTCATCTCCGGGTTTGGAACTTGGTTAAACCAATCAAGGTGAACTTGTACATGGGTTGATGACCAATGCAAATATAGCCATTATAATTATTTTACTGGATTCCCATTTGCTCCAACAGTAGCTGTATTAGAAACCCTCTATTTTAATGCAACGCTAAGTATAGTGTTATAAATGTACTCTTCTTAACCCCTTAAATGGTTGTAATTCAAGAATGCTTTGGAATATATACCCAAGTTTGGTCTTGTTTTAAAGTAAACACTCAGCAGATTATTGCTGAAGTGAAAACACTTCAAAAAGTATGAAAGCACTTGAAAGTATGAAAAAGTTATGGAAGTTTAAATTTACAGTAAATCAAATATACTGTACTTTATATTTTTTATTTTATATAAAATATATATTTTACAAAATATTTTTTACTCTAAAATTACTAAAAAAAAATTAAAGCCATAAACCTAACCAAGTTATGTTCCAAGTTTGAAGTTGAAGTTCCTATGAGATTGTGCTTAGGCGCAGTACCAAAAATCGCCACCGGGTGCCATTGAATTCCATTTAATTTAGTTGTATACATTCTGCCTTAACAAATTAATAAAATTGTCCAAATATCAATTCTGTCACACAATTTGGGACCTTGAGACTTAGACCTTTCTGACAATATGTGTTTTGTCAAGATACCCAAAAGGGGAGGAGCCTGATAAAATGATACCTAATTTATGATAACTACTAAAATACGTGATATAATAAAAAAGGTCGATAAAAAATATTATATTTTAGAGAATAATATAAAGGATAATATTATGTGTTCACGCATAATATTATCCTCTAAAAATTATAATATATATATATGCGTTATTATACAGAATATTATGCGTTCTGCGTTCACGAGTCCGCATCAATGAACGCGGATTGACAATACAATGCTGAATAAAGTCGTAGTTTTTGTTATTTTTGGACCAAAATGTATTTTCGATGCTTCAAAACATTGTAACTAACCCACTGATGTCACATGGACTACTTTGATGATGTCTCTATTTCCTTTCTGGACAAGGACAGTATACCATACATACATTTACAATGGAGGGACAGAAAACTCTCAGACTAAATCTAAAATATCTTAAACTGTGTTCCTAAGATGAATGGAGGTCTTACGGGCTTCTGACGACATGATGGTGAGTCATTGATGGCATAATTTTCAATTTTGGGTGAACTAACTCATGTTGAAAATGAATGTGCCTTGTATTAAAAGTTCATTAATGCAGCGCAGACAAAGAAATCTTTTCCATCCATCAGATTAGTCAGCAAAATGCTGGAATTTGCTGGAACTCGGTTAGTTTTGTTTTGTTCTTTAATGGATTCCTCATATATTGAGGCCAGTTCTTCTCTTGATCTCATTAAAAATCCATATTAGTATGTCAAAGACTTGGATATTCTGATCAATTGTGTTTAACTATGTGAAAAGAATAGCTTCATGTTTGACTAAGAATGAGTAGACATCAAGGAATGCTCGAGTGCAGCGCTGTTGAGGTGTGAGAGGATGGTTGCAGCTGGGATCGACAGCTGGAAGAGATCCGTATTCAAATTGTCACCAGAGATAGCATGCAACACATCATAAACCTACTGTTGTTTTGTATTTGATCTAAAAAATGTAATTGATATCTCCCAATCCAGAGGTTTTTGAGCTTTTTTTTTCTAACAATCAAAAAAATGTTATCTCTAAATCAGCATATTAGAATGATTTCTGAAGGGTCACGTGTCGTAATACTGCTGAAAATTCAGCTTTATCATCAGGGAAATGTATTAGAATAGAAAACAGCTTTTGAAAATTGTGTTAATATTTCACAGAATTATTGTTTTAATCAAATAAATGCCTTTCTGATCAAATAAGAGCCTCAGTGAGCATTAAAAATTTCATAAAATTGTAGACTTTTGAGACTTTAAAAAAAGGACCCTAAACTTTTGAATTGTAGTGTAGAAATACAACATGTTTCCAAAAATTGACAAACTTCTAAATTATTATCTGGGAAATGTTTACTTTGATTTGCATAATACTGCTTTAGACTTTGATTACCTGATGATCAATAAATACTATAAGCATATTACAATTTATGTTTAGCATATTTAATCTTAATTTAACATATAACTTCAAATACATTTAGCAAAATGCTTGCTTATCTCCTTAATGTTCTGCGTACCTCTCAACTGTTTTTATTTATTTAGTCTAACTTGTAGGCATGCTGCACATAACAGTGGTTTGTGGGGGATGGAGTTAGTTAGATCCCTAAAAGACTGTCTAAACAAAAAGTTGGAGTGGTTTTTATAAGTACATTTACTAAACAGTTCATTTAAGTAATGCATTGTATCAACAGTACAACATAATAGCTCTCTGAGGGTTCCTGGATTCCTTTTTGAAAACCACCAAACCCTGATTGTAAGACTTAAGGCAGCATTAGTCATTCATGGGAACAATTCCCATCAGCAGAATTACTTGGGTACTCAGACTTCCCATAATTCCCTGGTCAGGGTCTTATCTATATCTATTTGCTCCAGCTGTCCTTCTTACTACCCCCACACCGGGTTTCCAGAAGGCCTGGCAGAGTTTCAAATTTATCACCTGCTTTACAAATTCCTTTATTGAGATTGTGATCAGGACCCCTAGCTGTGGGAAAATGGGATGTCTGTGGTCATGATTGATGAGGACGCGTGTGTTCGCCCCCTCAGCTGCCTGTGGCGAGTGAGATCATCTCATTTCTGTGGTGGAGCACAGATGGACAAGCCAATGCGTTCTACCTGTTCATTAGGGTTAACTTAAGGGACTTAAAGGGATAGTTCACTTTGAAATAATTTTTTGGTATGTTTTATCTTACCTCAAGGGCATCCAAGATGTAGGTGTCTTTTCCACAGTATTTTCAATTTTGATATTTTTAGGTCAAACCGTTCTTGTCTGTCAGTCATATAATGGAGGTCTATGGTCACCACCTCAAAAAGCATGCACAGAGAAGTCCAAATTAAACATGATTTACTGAATCGTAAATGTAAGTACACATTGATGGCCTAAGACACGAAACGAGCGGTTTGTGTGAGAAAACGAACAGTATTTACAGCCACATCCAAGTACTCTGAGAGTGCGGGCGCTTTGTGGCTGTGGTTATTTAAGAGGAAAAAACTATATAAATACCATTAGTTTTCTCACACAAACCGCTCGTTTCATGTCTTAGTCCATCAATATGTACTTACATTTACGAGTAATTAAATCATGTTTAATTTGGACTTCTCTGTGCATGCTCTTTGAGGTGGTGACCATAGACCTCCATTATATGACTCATAGACAAGAACAGTTTGACTTAAAAACATCAAAATTGAAAATCCTGCGGAAACAAAGACACCTACATCTTGGATGCCCCTTGAGTATACCAAAAATTAATTTCAAAGTCAACTATCCCTTTAATCCCAAAACAGTATCTCATAAATGCATGGTGAATATAATCAGTGTGCAATTTATACAGTGACCAACGCCAAGACACATTCACGACCAATGGCAACAGGACATGTTCTTTTGGTTTTTCAGTACCCTTGTCAGCATCTGTTGCTGTTAGTTGGCACTTGTTTTCGCTGACTGAACATGTCAGCGTTTGGTGGGTAGTGCAGTGCCTGAGAAGTGACATACTGTAATCTGGTGATTGTCTGCATTAATCAGCGTCCGTGTGGGCGCAGTGTGAATTAGCCATTAAGCGACTCAAAATGTCTTTTGGTGCCTGAAGTGTCTCTAGTTAGCCAAACAGTATTCTACAATAAATACAGATTTTTAAATGTTTTTGAAAGAAGTCCATTTAAAAAAAAAATGTATATTTATATGGAGAGTATATTATAGATTAATATAAGTGATGTATATGTATGTAAGATTTACAGTATAATGTACTATGTTGCATCTTTGTAGCTCTGTGATCTGATTTACTTGTGATTTAACTGGTTATGGTTACTTTTGAAAATGTTGTTGAAATATTTACTGAATATTAAAGGGATAGTTCACTTTGAAATTCATTTTTGCTATGTTTTAGCTTACCTCAAGGGCATCCAAGATGTAGGTGTCTTTGTTTCCACAGTATTTTCAATTTTGATATTTTTAGGTCAAACCGTTGTCTGTCAGTCATATAATGGAGGTCTATGGTCACCACCTCAAAGAGCATGCACAGAGAAGTCCAAATTAAACATGATTTACTGACTCGTAAATGTAAGTACACATTGATGGCCTAAGACATGAAACGAGCGGTTTGTGTGAGAAAACGAACAGTATTTATATCTTTTTACCTCTTGTAACCTCAGCCACAAAGCGCCCGCGCCCTCAGATCACCTGGACGTGGCTGTGGTTACAAGAGAAAAAAACGATACAAAAACTGTCTCTCTATTTAAAGGAAGAAGATTACATTTAAAACATACATTTTAACATTAGACGTTAAATTTAGATTGTTAAATACACTGAATTGTTTGTGTTTAAAGCAATTACATCAGAAGTAACTAATCAAATTACAGAAAAATTAAGAGTAATCCCTTACTTTACATTTTCAAGGGAGAAGTAACTGAATTACAGTAATTAGTAATTACATTACACCCATGAATATAAACTAGTCTAAATAATCATTAAGTATAGGGCTGAACCAAAATGCTAAAAATCAATTATTTTCACTGGAAATTATTACTCTTATTAAAGAAACACATCTGATCCAGTTGGACTGTCTAAGTACCAGTCACCAACATGGGCTGTGCATAATAGTCTAAAACAATATTTCAAATAAATAAGAAACATGAACATCACAATTTTTACAAATGCAAGAAGACAGCGTTATTCCAATTGTCGCTAGAGAGCAACTCCCGTCTCCCAGTGATATTAAACGTCAAATGTAAATTAAAATGTTATTTTTATCAAGTTATTTATGCAGGCGCTTCACAAACCAAATAAGCAAAAGCAGACTCCTGCAATTACGTGAAAGTGCATGCATTTTAAACTGAATTGAATTTAGATTGGTTTAGTCTGCTTGTATACTATTGGGGGATACAATTTCAAGCAAATGAATCCCAAAGAGGAATGGCAAGCAATTACCAGTCTTCCTGCGATGCATGTGCCCAAAGTGTGTGTTTGAGGGCAGAAACAAAGACTGAAGTTCATTACTGACTTGTATTTAGAATAGAAAAAAAGTTAATGACGCACAATCTAGATCTGGCAACACAACTTATTAAAACTCTGTATAAAACAAATAATTTGACCAACAAACTGCATTCACCCTGGAGAACATGCAGATGTCTTCATAATCTCTGAAAACCCCATCAGTCTCTGCCAGAATGCTGTTAATGGGTGTGGAGTCTTAATGTGGTCAGCTTGCATGTGTGATTTGTGTATTTGTACTTCTTGAGTCGCACTCTGCTTTGGTACATCAATACATCACTGATGTCTGCGTGACTTTATTAACCATGTCGGTTTTAATAAAATCGTTGTGCTAGTTCCAAAAAATGTAAGCCTTCCCTCGCATCTGCAGAAAGCATAACGGTCCAGTGTCTGCAGATCCCATTGTGCTCCAGCTCATCCGTTGGGTGTTTTTCCAGAATACCCCAGCGTTCATTTGTCCACTGATCTGAGAGCGGTCCGCCATCCGTTATGGCCAATGCACAAGGAGAACAGGCATGTCAGAGACAGCTGAACATTTCATTCTGCGTTTTCACAGTCTGCCAAACTTTAACAGCGCTTTAACTTATCTGTCATACGTCACTGAGTCCCTGCAAAGGAAATTTTACGGAACTAGTGTTTTAGATTTGATTTTTTTAGTTTCCTCAATGAGAAGACATGCCGTTTGCATTGCCCTTTAATACAGTCCTTATGGCCTTCCACCTCAAAAACAGAGACATGTCAACTTTCCTGCTCTGTTGGATGTGTATATTGTGGTGAGGAGTGACAAATCTGTTCCTTTGCGCTTCATGGAATGAGCTAATGTCCTTTCATGAGGTCTGGCATGCAAACTGTTGTTTTTTTGATGACACTGTGACATGCTTGTGGCCTTTAGTCTTGTAATATTGATTGAAGTCAACTGAGAGCTGATGAGTGTAGGAGTAGTTCACTTTAAAAAAAACTTTTGCTGATAATTTACTCACCCCCTTGTTATTCAAGATGTCCATGTCTTTCTTTCTTCAGTCGAAAAGAAATTAAGGTTTTTGATGAAAACATTCCAGAATTTTCTCCATATAATGGACTTCAATGGGAACCAAATGGTTCATGGTCAAAATGAGAGTTTCAGTGCAGCTTTAAAGGACTTTAAACGACACCAGACGATGAATAAGGGTCTTATCTAGCGAAACGATCGGTCATTTCAAAAATAAATACAAAAGTTTAAGCTTTATAAGCTCAAATGCTCGCCTTGCTCTGTTCTGTGACGCGCGTTCGTGACTCTCCTGTTCAAACTCGTTCATCGAAATGAACAAATCTTTTTTCAAGTCATGACTCGAAGGGTTCTTGATAAGACCCTTATTCATCGTCTGGTGTCGTTTAAAGCCCTTTGAACAGTTTGCACTGAAACTCTCATTTGGACCTTGAACCGTTTGGTTCCCATTGAAGTCCATTATATGGAGAAAATCCTGGAATGTTTTCATCAAAAACCTTAATTTCTTTTCGACTGAAGAAAGAATGACGTGGACATCTTGGATGACATGGGGGTGAGTGAATTATCAGCAAAAGTGTTTTAAAAGTGAACTACTCCTTTAATTTCTAATATCATTATCTGTGTGTATTGCATTTCACCACTAAGAGATCATCATCATTTCATTTCATGCCAAATGATTCCCAAGACTCTGTTGTCTTGGAAGATCGCTCTTGCTCCACAGAAAACTCTGTGTGTCTCTCTCAAATGAGAAAGGTGAATTTTGGGGAAACCCAGAGTGAGATATTTCCATGCATATGGAAAACCACGGCTGGCTAATGTTTGGTTTTCCTGTTCCATACCCTTGGGTGGGATATTAACCAAAGATGTGATCGAACTCATTTAGTGTCTCTCCAACAAGTTCTCGTTGTTCACAAAACAACACTGAGCATTCAACTGATATATTGGTTTCACACTGAGGTTTCGGGATTGATTTCATTTTTGGACCAATCAGTGACTGCGGAAGGATCCTTGGAATTTTGAATGTGTCTTTGTTACACTCATGGTGAGAGCATCACACTAACCTCACTCAGATCAGTTCGGTTTACCACTTTGACTAGTATGCAATAATGATATTGCAAAAATGCAAAAAAAAAATTAGATTGAATGATCATAGATTTGACTTATGACTCAACAGATGGCTGAGAGATTTATAGCATTTGCTTAATCCATTCACTCTGTGCTATTTAATTTTTTATGGTTAAAAATCCTCCTTTCTCTGCACACTGTCATACCATGTAACCTTAACATCTCTTTTTGTGCATTCATCCCTTTAGAGTGCATGAACTGTACTAGTTATGCTGACGTCAAAGAGCGCTTGGGTGTCATTGAAGCTCAGGTAAGATAGGTTACCTCTTGTGTTAACCAGGCACATTTAAGTTAAGATGGTGATAGTGTGTTTTTTCTTTTTTGACAGATAATGTTACTGAGAGATGCAGAGGCACCTCCTCTCCCTCTTTCCAGCCAATCACCCGAGAGAACAGCTGATAATGAGGTGGACAGGGCACACCCCTCACCAAAAACACCCAATGCCATTGGCCGACCAGGTAAGAAAAAATGATGTACATGTACATTTTTTACTATACTGTTCTATAGGATGCGTAATTTCATATAATATTTATCTGTTTTATTTTATTTTATTATATATTTTATATATCAATATATAATTGAATCTACATATGCACATTAAAAAAAACGTTGGGCTATTTGTTTAACCAAACTGTTGGGTTACACATATTGGGTCAATATGTTGGGTTATTTAAAAAAAAAAATAGTGGGTCATTTTTTTTTAAATCATTGGGTAATTTCTAGAAATAACCCGACTGTTGGGTTAAATAGCCCATTTCAATATTTAACTTTATTTTATTATTTATTTTATATATAAATATATAATTGAATCTACATATGCACATTAAAAAAAAACGTTGGGCTATTTGTTTAACCAAACTGTTGGGTTACACATATTGGGTCAGTATGTTGGGTTATTTTCAAAAAAAATAGTGGGTCATTTTTTTTTTTAAATCGTTGGGTAATTTCTAGAAATAACCCGACTGTTGGGTTAAATAGCCCATTTCAATATTTAACTTTATTTTATTATTTATTTTATATATAAATATATAATGGAATCTACAAATGCACATTAAAAAAGCGTTGGGCTATTTGTTTAACCAAACTGTTGGGTTACACATATTGGGTCAATATGTTGGGTTATTTAAAACAAAAATAGTGGGTCATTTTTTTTTTTTTTTTAAATCGCTGGGTAATTTCTAGAAATAACCCGACTGTTGGGTTAAATAGCCCATTTCAATATTTAACTCAACTGTTGGGTTACTTAACCCAACTAGAGTTTAACTCAATGCATTGGGTTAAAATAACCCACAGTTGGGAACCACCCATACTTGGGTTATTCGTTGGGTTATTTTTAACCCAACAATTTTAAGTGAGTGTGTTTATAAATATTAGTTTTAAATCTTTTGTATTTTATATTGTATTATATAGGACCAAAAGGACAACCAGGACCTGTTGGGCTCCCAGGTCCTCCTGGGTTTTCTGGAAAACCTGGTCTTATGGGACCTAGAGGTAAGAACTAGATTTTTACCTTGACTGGGAATATTAAAGCAAATGTTTTCACTTAGCTTCACAGCTTACATCTGATCTCTTTTAGGACCTCAAGGGCTGCAAGGTCCTCCAGGAGAAAGAGGCCTTCCTGGTCCGCCGGGACCTGCTGCATCCTCTCCCTTCTCCATTAGGGGAGATGTTTTCACTCTAATGGCTAAACAACATGGAGAATGTGAGTACAACAGTCCACGTTAAACATGTGTAATGGCATAATTTATGACTTTAAAGGAATAGTTCACCCACAAATGAACATTATGTCAGTAATTGCATAGCTTTGACAGCTATGTAACTACCGATTTGACGCTTCAAAAAGTTCATAAAGAGATTAAAACTAATCCATATGAGTTGATCAAATCTTCTGAAGAGACACGATTACTTTACGCGATGAGCAGATTTAATTTACAATCTTCAAACGTATTCAAAGTGTCAAAGTGGTAGTTGGGTAGCTGTCAACGGAGGGACAGAAAGCTCTCACGTTTCATTAAAAAGATCTGCATTTGTGTTCCGAAGATGAACGAAGACTTACAGATTTGGAGTCATTAATGACAGAATTTTCACCATTACTTATCAGGGTTAAAGAAAATAAGGAATTGAATATGCAAATGATTTGTAACAGCAGCAACCTTTCAAATGTTATTCTCAAAATGACCATAAGATGGCAGCATTTGAGTATATCTGCTCTCAGAGCTCTGGCTCTCTTTAAGAGTCTGGTTGGCTTCTGTCTGTCAACAGTTAATCAGAGTCATTTGTTCGCTGTATGCGAATCTGGATAACCCGAAACAGAACCTGAGCTGCAAATCCTGCGGTACAGCTGCTCAAATCACATTTGCTGCAAGTAAAGTTACATTACATTACATGTTTCAGATGCGGATAGTGACTTTGCTGCCTATCGTGACCTTCAGACTTTCCTTGGTCCCCCGGGCCCTCCGGCCCTCCTGGTCCACCAGGTATGCCTGAACATCAAACAGTTTCACCTAGTATCACCCACCTATTTCATCACACATTTAATCTTCTTTTATCCATGCATAGGCCTCGGTTTCAGTGGGGAAACCGAGTTTCGTCATTAGTCATTTTGTACCCACCACATTTTTTTTTGAAAAACCTCAAGCTCAATAGAGTGCCGAAGTGATGACGTCACTTTGTAGGACAACTCAGAAGTTAGCGGCGCATGGGTTCCCTCGATCAATTTTTTTTTGACAGTTTTCAGTGGTTATGAGTAGCAACATGAGAGAGATTTGGTTATCATTGTTTAGGTACATTAAACCACGTCATCATGGTACTTATGAAGCAGAGTATTGAGTCTAATGCTTTTAGAAAACTTAATGCTTTCTTCTTCATGAAATGAGTCGGACATTATCACATTTTTGGATATATTTTCATTTATTCACATTAATAAGCTACAGGACAGTGTCTTTCAAAACATGACCTGTGAAAGAGAAAAAATAAATAATGCGTCGCTGTACCCAGCACTTCTGAAAATGCACTTCCGAATGCGTCTCTGTCCCCAGCACATTTCAAAGCAAACTCACGCCCATGCATATGTGTTGAACAGGGCCTGCCGGACCACCTGGAGACACAGGTGCCCCGGGGAAAAATGTAAGGCATTTTTATCATTATGGAATGTATTTAGAATATATTTTAGGATAAATAGAAATAATTCTTGCAGATTATACATTAAATACTCTAAAATAGTATGCATTTACAGTTATAATTTAATCATATGGATTTATAAGGCACAGTGTACTTATTATTTCACATTCGTCATAGGCTGCCTTAAGCTTTCCAGGCACACCAGGTGACAGGGGACCCAAAGGAGATCCAGGAGAAAGAGTGAGTCTTCTACATTTAGATAGATATTACATCTTAATCTTATTAGATAAAAATGTAATGTTTTTATTTGGGCTAATTAGATCGTTTCACTCTATTTCCAAAGGGTCCACTCGGAATAACAGGAAAGCAAGGGCAGCCTGTGAGTGCACATACTGGATTGCATTATTTTTTTAGGGCTGTGCAAAAATTAACTGCGATTAATTGCATCCAAAATAAAAGTCTCTGTTTACATAACATATTTGTGTGTGCTGTATATAATTATTTTGTATAAATAAATGCCTATACATGCATGTATATATTTAAGAATTATTTGCGCTTAAATTCTGTGTATATATAAAAATACATAATCTATATTAAATATTTTATACATGAATAACACATTTTCTTAACTATATACATGCATGTGTGTGTATTTATATATACAAAATAATTCTATACAGCACACACAAATATATTATGTAAACACAGACTTTTATTTTGGATGCGATTAATCACAATTAATTTTTGCACAGCCCTAATTATTTTTAATCAATTCATAAATCAATTAATTTATTTTGCAATGCATTTAATTTTTAGAATTAAGACAATTAAATTGAATTAAAAATAGTTATTTTTAATACATGCATGTATATAAAATTATTTTTTAACAGGGTGTTCCAGGTCCTAAAGGTGAGCCGGGAGAGACTCCAGGAGAGGTAAGGATGATGATGGATATTTTTGATGTTTTGTATGTGTAGTTATGATGGTTTACTGTCGCATGCTAAAGCTCAGTCTTCTTGCAGGTCCAGCAGTTGAGGGAAGCGCTGAAGATTTTAGCCGAGAGGGTTCTCATCCTAGAACACATGATCGGCATTCATGGTGAGATTAATATTATGGATTAAAGCAGGGATTTTCAAACTCGGTCCTGGCTAGTTTAGCTCCAACCCTGATCAAACACACCTGAGCAAGCTAATCAAGGTCTTCAGGATCACTAGAAACTCGTTTGATCAGGGTTGGAGCTAAACTCTGCAGGACACCGAGTTTGAGGAACCCAATCTAGATTTCCAGAGCGTCATTAGTATCTCATGGCATAAGCTGTTAGCTGCCAGAGAGGTGAGCATCTGCAGCAATTATTTAGTAATGACTTTAAGGTTGCATGAGGATGAATTGCTTTTAAGGATAAAATTGACATCAGAGGACCAGAAATACATAGCCAACTATTTATTTTTAGACACATGGATGGTTATGCAACTTCTTTCCCTTTTATTTTTGTTTCTTTCCCACTCTGCCTAGATACTCTGTTGGACTCTGGCTCTGGAATAGATCTCCTGGCAGACTTCATGCTAACAGGCAGTGGTAAAAGCGTTAGTGGTTCCCGACCCTCCTCTCCTCTTACCTCGGACAGAGAGTAGCCGGACTGTGTTGGGTATGAAGAGTGAATAACAAACACTTGTGACCACAAGTCTGTTGTTCTAAAGGACAGATCACTCAATGTGTATGTTGATGAGTGTAATGAAAGTGGCACTGATCTTTTCGGTTTTATTTACTTTTATGTTTAATGGTCCATTCATCTTATGTAATGTGATGTATTTCAAGGATATAAATTGATTGGATGTTTAAAAGTGGGCATTACTTACAGAATAGAGCCTGAATGTGAAAAGTAAAAAAAAAAAAAAGTTATTTTATAGTAAGTGCAAGTTATTAGATCTTGATTAAAGATTATAAAAACTAAGACTGAATTACATGCACCACAGAAACATGCATTAAGAACGTAACTGGAATTAATCTTCAGTGACTTTAAGTGTTTATTTACTGTAGTTTGTTTCTTTTATGATGGTAAAAGTGAGGATTTTGTACTGGCAGGATGATTTACATTTAGCATTGTTTACACTATTCATTTGTGGCATGAATGATGATTTTATCTAGCTGAGAAATTTGTATTGTCATAGAAAAAATAAAGTCATAAAGACTTTCCCAGAAAAGGCACCATTTTTCTCGTCATTTCCTTGATGTTTTCTGATCGATGACCTAAGATGACCTCATGCACGTAATTTTATATATAGCACTCTCGGCAGTGGCTTTGTTTGAAAACAATTCAAGTCTCAAAGCTCACAGCAACCGTACGAAATACACCAGAATAGAACTTAAAACCAAATTTAGCCTGAATAGAAAGGGCAACGTCTCTAGCATAATAAATTGTGTTTACACCTCTGCTCACCTGTTCTCACACAGGCTATCATTGACTCGCTTAAAACCCAAAATGGTCGGCACCTAAAACACACACCCAGGTCTGCTATTAATACGATTGCAGTGAATAGCCAGAGACACACAAAAGGCCCTGTTGACCTTGTTCGAAGAGGACCGTTCAACACGCCATTGTGGCTTTAAGCTTATTGTTGCGCTTGAGCTTTTGTAATCCCCTCAGGAGGGAACAAAATCTTTCTGAATCTTGGGCTTTTTCTTGTTGTTGAGTTAAGAAAGAAGCCATGTCTGAAGTGTTTGTTCAAAAAGTTTCCCACAGTAACGCTTTATGTTATTGAGAGCCAAAATCTGATTGTTTGTACTTGGATTTTTGACTTTTTAAATAAAAAATGAATGGGAAATTGCATTTTATTATTTACTTATTTATGGATGGATGGTATTTTAGAGAGTTTAAACCCTCCAACAACAACAGTACCTTGGTTTTGTTTGTTTTTTTGATCTCTTTATTGACAAAAGGCACAGGTACAGAGCTGAAGAGGAAGACGGCACACAAATGAACATGAACAAACACAGAGAGATATGGGAAATGTAGTTTTTACTCCTGTTCCTTATCCTCTCCGTGGGTAATGACGTAGCACAGGTTTTTGTAGTCCAGGTTGCCAGCCACATCCAAGGGGAAGTTTGTGAACATCTGGTTTACCTAGGTACATTTTGTAAAAATGTTCATGATTAAAATGCTTTTTTATTAGGGCTGTCAAACGATTAAAAGCAATTAATCGCATCCAAAATAAAAGTTTGTGTTTACATAATATATGTGGGTGCACTGTGTATAATTATTTTATATATATATATATATATACACACATGCTTTTATATATTTAAGAATATTTTTATGTATATATTGTATATAGATTTATATCTAATTTATATTATATATAAATATTTTATATATAAATAATATTTTTTTCTTAAATATACAAGCATGTTTGTGTATTTATATATATACAAAATAATTATACACAGTGCACCCACATATATTTTGTACACACAAACTTTTATTTTGGATGGCAGCCCTATTTTTCATATATTTTTTAATTCATCATCTGCATCTCAGACAAATTGTGCCTTTGCATTTCAGAAGAAAGGAAAGTAGCTATATTACCTCAGCTTCAGTAAATTTGTCAGCCTGGGACATAAGGTGATATTTGATCCTGTGAGGAGAAATGAAATAAATATATTGTGCATTTCAAGGAGACTTTGGACTTTAAAGTCAGCGATGAAAGGTTTTACATATCCGTAAATTTACTTACTCTTCTCCTTTAAGGATTCCTGTGCCCTCTTGGTCGAAGATCTTAAAGGCATTGAGAATAGTCTCCTCGGGGTCTGTACCTGTCAGTCACAGAAAGGTAACAGATTATAGATTATTCCAGCCCGTTCTCATCCCAAGGCGTCATATATCGACGCTTTTGACATTTCGTCTACATCCAACGCACATGGCACCCTTTAGCGTCAATATGAGACGCAGATATAGAAGGCGCCTCCTAATGGTCTAACCCTACCCCAGAACTAAACCTGCCATAACCGAACAAAGCTCTGTGCGTGTGATATTGACGCTAAAGGGTGCTACGTGCATTGGATTTAGACAAAATTTCAAAAGTGTCATTATATGACACCCTATTATTTTGTGAGTCAAATATACTCTTACATGTTAAAATCTTAAAGGGATAGTTCACCCAATAATGAAAATTCTGTCATCATTTACTCACCCTCAAGTTGTTCCAAACATGTATGAATTTATTTCTTCTCCAAGAATGTCCAAAACAGTTGACTTCCATAATATTTTTTTTCTCCATATATATGGGGCCCATCAACTGTTTGGTTACCAATATTCTCAAAATATCTTCCATTATTTTGATACAGGTTTGGAACAACTTGAGGACGAGTAAAGGATGACCAAATTTTCATTACTAGGTGAACTATCCCTCTAAATAACAAAGATACGAGCCATTTTTGGAGAAAGTTGCATTGAAAATCTATGCTTCTGATGCTAAACTTTACAATTCATTTATCAGTATGCGGCATGCCGGATGTCTACTGGGTTCTGCTGCTATTTACACCTCATTAGCATGATTATCATTTCAATTCTGATAAATTTAATTCTTGCCTTTGAGCTTCTCTCCAAACATGGTGAGGAAGACGGTGAAGTTAATGGGGCCGGAGGCTTCCTTTAGCATCTCATCAAGCTCATCGTTGCCAACATTGAGACGTCCTGCCAAACACGCACATATGGAGATATACATTAATACAGAGTGCCACTTCCTCTGATAGTTTGAATGTAGTGGGAGGAGAACACTGCATAGCTCATAGATGTTTAATACAATCAAATATTAATGAGACCAGGGAAAAAATAATTAGCCTAGGTACATTTCGACAAAGACAAAGTTTTAGAATTGTTGAGAGAAAAAAATAACATAATGTAGGCTACTTGAATTGTTGTGCTGACATTATGATATTATTATGAAAAAATATTAAATTAGAAAGAATCGACTGCTGTATATGAATTTATCAACGTTTTTGCATCTAAATCTGTTAATCAGTGCTATAAGCGCACTTAGGCTTCACAACATTCAGTCAGAGCCACTGTAACCCTTAGAACAATACTGTTGTTGCTTTAAATGGACAAACACCTCTCCAGTATTTACATTATACACTGGCATTTAGTGAGGCTTCACACACCCAGAGCAGCAAATGTGTCCCTCAGGTCGTTTTTGTCAATAAAGCCATCTCTGTTCTGGTCCATGATGGTGAAAGCCTAGAGAAGCATTCAGATTTACAGAGGTAAGTACCACACAATATGCTAAAATAAAATGTAGCCTACGTGAATCCTAGAAATGACCCACCTCTTTAAACTCCTGGATCTGTGACTGCTCAAACATGCTAAACACATTGGAGCTGGCAGCTTCCTTCTTCTTGGCCTTCTTTGGTGCCTGGGATTCAGAGGAAAAACTATTTAGATTAAACAGTCTATTTAAAGCATATAAAACGTGAAGCATATAAAACGTAAAAATTCATGCAGAAATGATTTGACGTTAGCTATTTTAACCACTCTACGGCACGAAATGAACTCTGTCGAGTTTGACATTGAGAGGTTTCAAAAAACGTGGCCCTAGTAATTTAATTGCATTTAGTCCGAAATGCTACAAATTAAACACAAATTGACATCTGGAATAGTTACTCACTTAGAGGCTTCCTGAAATTTAAAGAAAAAACAAAGTTGCTCCCATAACAATGATCAAGGTGAATGAAAATGGCCCTTTTTAAAAGACATAGAAAGAAATACACGTACAAAACCTTCCATTGCATGTACTCTCTAACATAAAATACAATATTCTCTCAGTTAGAAGATTCAGTTTCACCACCATTTCCATGTTAAGATAGAGTCCTACCATTGTGAAGAGCTTCTCTTTACTCTGTTGTTGGTCTCAAAAGCCTGGGGGACACTCAAACATCGTCGGTTTCCAGCTATATATTGGCACAATTGGCTTGACGGCCCACCTGTTCTATGTTTAGACAAAGGCGGAGGCACAATAGAAGAATACTTGCCATATAGAGAATCACCAACCCCAGCACCCCCCAGTTATTGTTACGGACAGATGCTGATGTGATCAGAGTGTGTGTGTGGGCTTTGCTATCTTAGGATCATTCGAAGCGCCCTAACCCCCTAAGACTCGACTACACGCCTAATGTGTCGTTTAAAGACCGTGTGAAGCCGGCTAGCTTCTCGCATCAGTGTGTTTGGTCAGATGTTGACGCAATGTCTCCGCTACATGGATTACTGTAATTATTTGATGTCCTTGTTACATTGGTGTTCAGTATAGACACTTTTGACCAGCTTACAAGACACAGTTAGTAGGCGTATAGCATCTATCTATCTATCTATCTATCTATCTATCTATCTATCTATCTATCTATCTATCTATCTATCTATCTATCTATCTATCTATCTATCTATCTATCTATCTATCTATCTATCTATCTATCTATCTATCTATCTATCTATCTATCTATCTATCTATCTATCTATCTATCTATCTATCTATCTATCTATCACCTACCTACCTACCTACCTACCTACCTACCTACCTACCTACCTACCTACCTACCTACCTATCTATCTATCTATCTATCTATCTATCTATCTATCTATCTATCTATCTATCTATCTATCTATCTATCTATCTATCTATCTATCTATCTATCTATCTATCTATCTATCTATCTATCTATCTATCGAAACGAATTACAACACATTTATACCCTTGCCTTTAAAGGACAATTAAAACATTGGTTAAAATCCACTGCCATAAAAAAACTACCCAAACATAGGCCAATGTATAATTGGAATTTTCCAAATTCTGATTGTGATTTATTGGCATGTATAGAACAAAATAATCGCATATCATTGGAATACACGCATATGGAACTCATCCGTTTGAATCCAGTCATTATAACACGTGAGTTATAGTCAATCCCTTGGCTTTAATTCAGCCTGCAACTCTTATGAACATATTGTTTCTACTTTGTCTCCCATTATCTGTTGCGAACAATTGGGCTGAACAAAAGCCTTTCTCAGCACTACAAATATAGCCAGGCATCCCATGCTCGCCAGTTTTAAATGTGCTCTTGCAAACAGCCAAGTAATGTGCCGTCAGACTGCCGTAAATAATCTGTCCAGCTATCCTGGCACGACAGCACGCTGTGTAAAGCTTGTTTTAGCAGTGTCCTCGCAGACAACTGAACGAACAAGAGCTGCGGAGAAGAACTGCATCATGGGATGCTAGGAATGCCACTGTGATCTCCTGCTTGGCACTGTGCATGTGCATGTGTGTGTTTGTGGAGTGTGCTGTGTGCCCATGTTAGGAGTGTGACCAGCAGGTGGGGGGCGAGAAGGAGTCAAGGTCTTCTTATGTGTGCTAGCAGTAACAACTGATCGGGGAAGTGTCAGCTTCCTACAGCTGCTTATTACTGTCAGTCAAATTAGCCATATGGGTCCATGACACCTTAATAGGCCTGCATGTGAATACAGGCTTCTTTATACGAGAACGCTGCGAGGATGCACAGCCATTTAGTTGTTTTTGATGTTTCTCTCATTATTTCTTATGGAAAATCAGGTAATTTGGGCCACGTTTTGATCTCTCTACTCACTTAAAATTGTTGGGTTAAAAATAACCCAACGAATAACCCCACTATGGGGTGGTATAGCACCTTCCCAACTGTGGGTCATTTTGACCCAATGCATTGGGTTAAACTCTAGTTGGGTTAAGTAAACCAACAGATGAGGCTAAATAACCCAACAGTCGGGTTATTTCTAGAGATTACCCAACAATGAAAAAAATATGACCCAATATTTTTTAAAATAAGCCAACAAATTGACCCAATATGTGTAACCCAACAGTTTGGTTAAACAAATAACCCAACGTTTTTTACCGTGTAGTACCAATATATATCATTAAAATGTAGGCAACAGGCTTGATTTTAAGTTTTTCATTAATATTGTACAATAGTATGACAATTAAAAAAAAAATCTATTTGAATATATTTTCAATTGCAATTTATGCAATTTTCAGCATCATTACAGTCTTCAGTGTCACATGATCCTTCAGAAATCATTCTAATATGCTGATTTGCTGCAGTGTTGAATCAATGTGGAAAACAGTTGTTCTGCTTACAGTAATATTTTTTTTGTGTGGAATTCAATGAATTCAACGAACACCATTTATTTAAAATAGAAATAGTTGTTTAACATTGTAACCATCTTTACTTTCACCTTTGATCAGTTTAATGGATCCTTGCTGAATCAAAGAATTAATTTCTTTAAAAAAAATCACACACACAAGTCTTATAAAAGTGTAAAAATGTATGCTAATTGCATTCATTTTATTTTTTTTTGTTTATATTTCAATTATAGTGCTGCTATTGGTTGTAGTTTGTTTGCCTGCAGATGGAGCAGTTAACCTAATTTTATGAAGTACAATGTAAGTTTCTAAAGATGATTTTCCCCCACCACAACGCCTATTATACCTGTAAAATTAGATCTTCATGGACACAGAAAATTAAAAAAATATACAAGCAATTCATATTTCAAATGCTGTATAATTTACAATAAAACTGCATTTCTGTTTATGACTTGATTTCAGACACCTGTCCATCGATCATCACACCCAGGTGTGCATGAGATTAGTCAGACTCATCCCCAGAACAATGCCCTCCTCACATCTCTGCTTGTCTCTTCATTATGTTCTCTTGCCATGTCTTTGCATCTCCATAATTAAAATCTAATCCTGCATGCCGACTTTTTAAACGAGGACTAGCCTCAAGAGGAGGCTTATTTGATTAAAAAAGGGGAAGGGTAGAGGAGGGAGTCCTCCACAGCTCGGCAGGCAGGAGAGACAGCTCTTAATTGTGCTCCCATGAGGTGTGCGCACGCCTGGGCGGAGAGAGGGGGGGCTGGGTGCTCAGAGGCTCCAGTGGGCCTGAAAAAACAAACCGCCAGTGGGACTGGCTCTCCTGCGCGGCTCCCCTGGTGTCTCAGAGAAGGGAACCGAGGGGAGGAGCACTTACGAGGAGCTTCCAATTCTCACTCCGCCCTGCAGGGTCTGATCTGAACCCCCCCTCACCGTGTGAGAAGCAGGCCTGCTGCACCACAGATGAACGTAACTCTGGAATCCGGCTTTAGAAATGAAGGTTAATTGCTCATTGTTCACTTAAGGTTTAAACCGTGGCACTTGACTTTCTTCTATAGCTCCTGGTTTATTTTTACTTTTACATACATAGCCTACTCGGTTTCTTTTGCATTTAGCTCTATAATGATCACAATCTCGTTCTTTTTTAAATGCTGTATACTAGCTAATTACACAGTTGGTTCGAACTGTATTTTATAGGTTCAACAATAAAGTTGAATCAAATTTACAAAACTAAATAAATGTGTTCAAAGTGATAAAACTGTATTAAAAAGAGCATTAAAGGTAGAAATAAGGAACATAATTGCAACAAAAAAATGTTTCTTTGCGTAATTTTCAGTTTTTGACTGTATAAAATACCCTTTTATAGTAAAAGGCAAAGCGCAAACGATCAGAGAATGTGAACTGCTGCACATACGTATATTATATATAGGCCTATGAATTATGTATTTATATGTAATATAATAATATTTTACTAAATATATAATAACAGTAATTATTACTATTATTTAAAAACGTATTTTCCAAGAATCGCCCGGCCTAATTGAATAATAATTATAATAACAATAATAATACGATTTTACTTAATAAATTATGTATTCATCTAATCAGCGTAATCAGTTTCCAGGAATTAACCCAGCTAAATACCGATTGGTTATCATCATTAATTGGCTACTTTGGATCATCTACCATGCATCCACCATGAACAATGAGCTGAGACTCTACCATATGCACCCAATAGAGGGCGCTACTCTCCAAGTTCAAGTTCAAAAGCAGTATTTACAATTCATCAGGAATCGACCGGACAAGGGTTCATGATATAACATCAAACCATCTAATGCCTCCATCTTAAACACCGTCCATTACCATTTAAAATGCATATTACTTATGCAGTAGCCTATGTATATGAAGAAGAGCTAGGTTGTGTTTCACTTTATTTAAGCAATCGATCGCCGTATCCACATTCTTCACGCAAGATTGCCCCCCAAAAAATCAATATAATAGATGTATTGGTTTTAGAGTAGGCTACAAAACAGAGGGTAAGTGGACATTTAGACAGCGAACACATTATAAACACATTGTAAGACAATAGCGTGCGTACAGAAAAGAACATCTGATATATTTCCAATTGGATTAAAGATAATCAAAAATCAATATATCAGGTGTGCTAATACAAAAACAGGCAAGCAGATTCTTGATTTGACTATGAGAAGGATAATAAAAAAACAAAACACATAAGCTACGCGTTCCGTTCGCGTTGTTCGCCTCACGTCAGGTCTGATCAGTGTCTCGCAGTAGTGATACAAAAAAAAAAAATCAATAACCGTATAAACTCTCTTCTTATAACGGATAAAACGTATCCAGCAGCACCCCCCTCCCGCTCCTGCGCCACGGGGGGCTCGATTGAACACGGAAACTCCATCCCGCGTTTTCTGCCTTTTATTTAGGACGGTCTCAATAATTGTTTTCAGTAGCCCTATTCAATATCGCAGGTTGGCGTTCGTTCGATAACTCCATTCCGCCCGTGCCCGCGCCGTTCGATCTGCTCCGCTCCGTGTTTTGCGCGCGCTCCCCCGCCTCTCTCTCTCTCGCGCGCTGAACTCCAGCCCCTCTCGCGCTCTCTCTATCAGCCTTTCATTCCGTCTCAATATGTCTCAAGATGGCGGCCAATGCGGGATCGATGTTTCAATATTGGAAACGCTTTGATTTGCAGCAGCTCCAGGTCAGCTCTCTTTCGCTTTGTATTCGCTGTGTGTGCCGGTAAGCCGGCCCCGGGGAGCGTCGCGCTGAGAGGCTGGCGCGTCGCTCTCGCGTCGGGCTCTTTCGCCGGGTTCGGTGCCCATTGATTAAAGCGGCTCTCGCGCTGATCGGAAATTGATCCTCTTTGTTCAATTCCCATCGATCAACCATCACGGTCAAGGTGGATGCGGCCACTTTGGCAACGGGAGCCCGAATGTTTTCCTATTCTCTCCTGCTCCTTTCCATCCCCGGGATTTTTTGGGAATAGTTTGTGCTGAGGAGATTTAGATAGTATGTTTGTTGAAATAATTTTGTGTTTAGAAGTGTGTCGCGCTACACGGGTGGCGCTGTGCTGGACCGAGACGTTATTGCTTAGTAACGAGAGAGGTGTTAGACTGCCTTCCTTTTCAGATTTCACCTCGTTTATTGTTTACTAGCACTTTCTGTGTGACTCTAGAAGTTTATGAAGTTAGCAAACTCAAAGTTCAGCTTCAGTAGTTAAGTTTAAATCGAAGACGGAATTGCCTGCGAAACCTGCGCCAGACAGGAACAATTAAACACAAAACAATAAACAAACACGAACGGATGAAGGATTTTGTGAAATATAACGTTAGATGTGGGACACTAGACAAGAAGGTTTGTTTCGTTATTCAGTTACAAAGTCCTACTAAATACTTATTCAAAACAAATTAATGCAATGTCTTTTTTTTCTTTCACATATATAACTTGTGTTCTGTCGTTCAAACGAGCGTTTTTAACGTTGTTGGAACGTAACGATTCAGTTTGTTTTGGTATAATATTGTTATTGGGTATTTTTTATCGATTAGGTGTAAAAGTTAGAACTCTTTCGTCTTTCGTTATTTGTAATGTTCGTGCTGTAGGAGTATGAAGTGCATTTGTCGCGTTTGGTTAGGCATAAACAATAGACCCATGATTATATCAATTATTGATTAAGAGTTTATGTATTTATGAACTGAGGTCGCAAAGCTTAGCTTGAAGAAATCGCTGACCTATTTTCCGATCGAACTTTATATTTCCTCTTACCAGTAACCATTTATACATCTTCATAAGCGTCACGAGTCATTTAAAAATCGATAACGTATCATGTAAAAATCGATATTACTCAATAGTAACAAGTAAACGACCCTTTTTGATCGACTAGATATTCTGCGTTATACGTTTATAAGAATGTGCTGCTTTTTTTTTTGTGTTAAATATAGCCTACTTATATAAAACTAATTTCAAGCAGAATGGAGAATACTTTATTTGCATGTGTTGCACTATGTTCTAGGATGCAATTCAGTTTTTTGTGTAACATTAATCTGGAATTGTCAAACATTGCCAGACTCGTTGCATGTCAGATGTTTTGCTGTTTGATTGTTGTGTTCGGAAAATCATTTATTTAATTAGGTTCCAGACATATATTTTTGAACATAAAGGGACCACACACACAGCTAGGCATATTCTGATGTGGTGACTCTAAATTTTCATTGCTCTCCCTCCCTCCCTTCATCCTCCCCTCCCTCCCTCCTTCATGGTCTCTCTTTCTCTCTCTCTCTCTCTTTCTATCTGTCTCCCAGGCTGATATGAACTGGCATCAGCGAGTTCAGGCATTGATGATGTCATGGATGCTTTCTTGTTTTGTTTCTTGCTACTTTTGTGCTTTTATTCAGACCTCTAAATGTTATGTTTCATTATGTTTTACATGACTTTCCTGTTTTTATTTTTTCTGATTACTTCGACTGATTTAAGCTTAATTAATGCCTCTATGTGAATCGGATCGGATTACCCTGCAAAAACCACACCAGACAGTGGAAAAAAGTCGTCTGAATTATAATTTCCTCAAACGTATGAGTCCAAGCAGACCTTTTTGTCTCATATATCCCGAACTTTTTGTTTGTCGGTGTCACCTGCTGCCTCCTGTCACCACGTGGCTCTGAGGAGGACTGTGGATGCAGGTGAGGTGTAAGTGAACCTCCCTTAGTGTGTGGTCCTGAGTTTTCGTGCGTCAACGCAGAGAGATTAGCGATTGACGCAGGCAGTACTGCCACCATCAAGATGTGAGCAGACTCTCTTGTCTGGACCTGCATTGGGGCCTTGTGATGACTTCAAAATCTGTTTGATATCTTTAATGAGGGGCACATGGGCCGGCTGCGGCACACTGTGTCCCTAAACAACACACGAGTGTAATCTGTTGCATTTTTGGTTCCTTTGTGGTTACTGTATGATTGGCACAGCTGTCTTAGAGATCTTCTATAAAATTCCTGTGAAGAGTTTCAGCAGGTTTGGATGTTCGACATTAGTTGTGCTATCCTCAGCTTCTCTTATGGACTCTTTTAAGAGTCCAATTCGTCACTTTTAATTAGATGCTTATTAGCATGCATATTACTAGGATATTGACTTTATTAGTATTTATAAAGCATATATTAATGCTTTATTCTGCATGACTTATTCTACATCCCTTAAACCTACCCAATGCTTAAACTTAACAACTACCTTACTAACTATTAATAAGCAGAAATTAGGAGTTTGAGGCAAAAATTGTAGTTAAAATAGTCCTATTATGCCTTTTTATGAATTCTTGATTTAGTTTGTGGGGTGTACTAGAATGTTTTAATGCTTGATAGTTCAAAAAAACAAATTATTTTTCACATTTTATATTATTACAGCATCTCTCTTCCCAATCAGGCTCAAACACTCAATTTCGATGAAGCCCCTCCTTTCGAAATGCAAACTGTGCTGTGATTGGTTAGTTGGCCCAGTGTGTTGTGATTGGTACCACTTAGCACGTGTTTGGGAAATGTCCCGTCTCACCATAACTGTGAGGTCTTTAGTGTAAATATTGAGGATGGCGTCAATTTCAAACCAATTCAAGCCCGATTCAGACCCTGACAATGTTAACGAACAAGATGCTTGTGCAGAATGGATTTCATGCACAGACTTTGTTAGCACGGATTTCACAGGACGTTTCAGAGTGGAATGTTTTGTGTAAAAAATTATTTAATATATTATAGATACGATTTTATCCACCATTCAGTCGTGATTTTTGTCGGAAAACTATGGTAATACAAACAGCAATCGATCACAAAAGCAAAGTTAATTTTAACTAAGGAGCGGTGAACCAGCTTAAAAAAGCTACAGAAAACAAGCTGTTCCCCATAAAATGTGCAGTGCACAGATAAACATTGGGATTATATAATGTTCAGGAACAGTGTTTTATGCAGCTCAACCAGGCCTTTTCCCATTTTTTGCGTTTTCCGTGGGTTGGAATTATTTAAACGAGTACCATTGTGACTTCATAAGATTCGGAAAAATCGCGTTGTCCAAACGAGCCGTTCGTTGTAGTTCTTGAAAAAGGGATTCTGTTCAATAAAACTTTGAGCTTTGTAACCTTGGAGATTTTTTTTATGCTCAAACAGCAACCTTACACACTAGCCAAAAGTTGAACAAGTGAAAAAGTGTAATAGGACCCCTTTAGTTGTTAGTTAATAGTGAGAACTGGACCCTAAATTAAAGTGTGACTGTATATTTTTGAGGAGATTCATAACCTGCAATTGGGGTATTTTTGTATATAAAAAAAATAAAACCCCCCACAAACATCACTTATTGAATTGAGCGCCGGTATTTTGACATGAGGTTTTGGTAATAACTGTCTGACTGACACCTTACTGTATTCGAAAGACAGGGGAAAGTCCCTAAAAAGTAAGCAGGAATGTCGCCACGTGTCTGCGAAAATGCGGGTAAACTACTTTTAGGCATGGCTTTAATGCTGACATGAAAGATGAATAGAACAACAGCGTCTCTGTGGAGCCCACCCCACACATTGACACAGACTCAGATCCTGACCACTTCAAAACCAAGCCAACTATATGAGGCCCCAAAACAACACACATATTTGCATGTGGCCTCTCCTTATTTAGCCTTAAAGCACTTCAATTGATTCTTGTATTTGTCTAATATCACAATTTAGACGCGTAATAAATTCTACAAAGCTCTTTGAGAAAAAAAGTCACTTTATATTAGGCGTCTTGAACTATTATGTACTTGTGTAAAAAAAAAAGTAAGACTAACTGGGTATTATTACAGAAATTAATTACAGCTGTATATGTACTTGCAGGTGTTGTTGGTTACACTTTATTTTAAGGTGTTCGTGTTGCAGTGTAATAAAGCATTTAAAGGGTTAGTTCACCCAAAAATGGAAATTATGTTATTCAAGGAGTAATTCACTTTTAAAAAACTTTTGCTGAAAATTTACTCACCCCCATGTCATCCAAGATGTCCATGTCTTTCTTTCTTCAGTCGAAAAGAAATTAAGATTTTTGATGAAAACATTCAAGGATTTTCTCTCCATATAATGGACTTCATTGGGCACCAAATGGTTCAAGGTCCAAATGAGAGCTTCAGTGAAGCTTTAAACGACACCAGGGTGTGAACGAATCTCTTTCGCACCAGATATACGTCAGCAGCGTCACTGAACACGGATCCACAACAGAACCGGAAGACAATACAATGCTGAATAAAGTCGTAGTTTTTGTTATTTTTGGACCAAAATGTATTTTTGATGCTTCAAAACATTGTAACTAACCCAATGATGTCACATGGACTACTCTGATGATGTCTTTAATACCTTTCTGGACAAGGACAGTATACCGTACATACATTTTCAATGGAGGGACAGAAAACTCTCAGACTAAATCTAAAATATCTTAAACTGTGTGTCTTATGGGCAAGGGATGACATGAGGGAGAGTCATTAATGCCATAATGTTTGGGTGAACTAACCCTTTAACTACTGAGTAATAATAATAATAATCACATGTACTTACTTTAGGTTTAGGGCTTGGTATGTGTTTAGTTACATGTAATTATGCATCATTTATGTTTTTAGTAAATTAATAGGTTACATGTAACAAGGACACCGTAAAATAAAGTATTTCCCAGGTATTTTTCAAATGTAAGTGCAATGTAGTAAGTGCATTGTATCAACTGATTCATTTAAATGTTGGGACATAGTTGTTAAAGACACTTGGGCCCTGTTCTAAATGGAACGCTAAGCTCTTGCAAACTTCCTCAAACTTCATGACGTAATGCTGCTTTGACTGTTGGGTAAAAGTCTGTTGTGGAGCTCACTAAAAGTGTGCATCATATCGGCCCTCACAAGCAACATTCTGAAACCTAAAATGACAAATAGGGCACTTCTTGTGGACTCACGCAACGGACATACGCAAACCGCGGCCATTGTAATTCCACAAGACCACAAGTGTTTGGGACAGGGCCGTAATATAATGTGGGGGCCAAAAAACATATATCACTTGGGCTAAATTGGACTGAATTGTACAAAAATTAAGAAAACAAAATTGTTTATGTTAATAGCTTTTCATATATTTGTAAAGACATGAGGAATATGACATGCACAGTATTAAGTTGTCTGTAGTGATTTTCACATTACGATTTCCTGCTGCGTTGTGGCAGGAGATTCAGTCTGTTGCCTTGCTTTGGTTATTAAAAAAAAACCTAGTTAGTCACTGAAAAGAATAGGTTAGTGATTTCAGATCCGGTTCTTGAGCACCTTTGTTCTAGTTCCAGATCAGCCCAGACGCTGATAATCCTATAGTCTATTAAGTGCTGCAATCGAAA